AGAGGGTCCCTACTCCTCTCAGTGGCAGTCAGCCATGGACGCAGAGATGGCTTCCTGGAAGTCCACAGGCACCTACGTTGACACGGTTCCCCCACCTGGGGCAAACATCGTCAGTGGCATGTGGATCTTCAGGGTGAAGCGGCCGCCAGGTTCTCCACCTGTCTTCAAGGCGCGGTACGTGGCTCGTGGCTTCAGTCAGCGGCAGGGAGTTGACTACTTTCAGACCTTCTCTCCCACCCCAAAGATGACCACTCTTCGGGTGCTGCTGCACATAGCCGCTCAGCGCGACTACGAGCTTCACTCTCTAGACTTCAGCACTGCTTTCTTGCAGGGTAGTCTGCACGAGGAGATCTGGCTGCGCCGCCCACCTGGCTTCACTGGGACTTTTCCTCCTGGCACCCACTGGAGCCTCCGGTGGCCAGTCTACGGTCTCCGCAATGCACCACGTGAGTGGCACGACACACTGAGGACTACGCTTGCGGCTCTTGGGTTTGCTCCCTCTACTGCGAACCCGTCGCTGTTTCTGCGCACCGACACTTCTTTGCCGCCGTTCTACATCCTCGTGTACGTCGACGACTTGGTCTTTGCCACTGCTGACACTGCTGGACTCGCCCACGTGAAGTCCGAGCTGCAGAAGAGACACACGTGCACTGACCTGGGTGAACTGCGCAGCTACCTTGGCTTGCAGATCACCTGGGACAGAGCACGCCACACCATTACCCTGACACAGTCACACATGGTGCAGCAGGTCCTTCAGCGCTTCGACTTCACGTACTCCTCGCCTCAGGCCACTCCTCTGCCTACTCGCCACTCGCTCTCAGCTCTGCCTTCGGATGAGTCCGTAGAGTCGAGTGGCCCGTACCCAGAGCTTGTTGGCTGCCTCATGTACCTGATGACCTGCACACGACCTGACCTTGCATACCCTCTTAGCATTCTTGCACGCTATGTTGCTCCTGGGAGACACAGACCGGAGCACATGGCTGCAGCGAAGAGGGTGTTGCGCTACTTGTGCAGTACGTCGGGCATGGGGCTAGTGCTTGGAAGGCAGAGTCCAGTGGTCCTCACTGGGCACGCAGACGCTTCTTGGGCTGACGACCAGGCTACGCAGCGGTCGTCACAGGGTTACACCTTCAGCCTTGGTTCCGGCTCTGTTTCGTGGCGGGCTACTCGCTCGTCTTCCGTTCTCGGCTCCAGTTGTGAGGCTGAGATCTACGCAGGAGCCATGGCTGCTCAGGAGCTTTGCTGGCTCACCTACCTGCTGACTGACCTCGGAGAGCCGCCTCGTTCTCCTCCAGTGCTGTACGTAGACAACAAGGCCATGCTGGCCTTGTGTTGGGAGCAGCGCCTGGAGCACAGAACAAAGCACATTGCTCTCCGCTACTTTCTTGCTCGTGAGCTGCAGCAGCGTGGTCAGTTGCGACTTGCGTACGTGGCCTCTGAGGCCAACACTACTGATATCTTCACTAAGGCACTTGCGCCTTGTGATCATCAGCGCTTCTGTTGGTCTTGTGCCTACCTTGCCTCACTTGCTCACTTCTTAACCTTGCTTGTACTTTCACATATATATATACTCCTGCTCTTGCTTGTTTAGCCTTTTATATATGTATGTGCTCCTGCATGTGAATTGGCCTTCTGGCCTTGAACTTGTGCTCGGAATGTGTGGTGACTTTGTGATCCACCCTGAGCTTTGCTTTGTTTTGCTTGACTGGTCTTGTGACCCCTTGTTCTCCCCCACTTTGCCTATGGGGGTGTGTCAAATCATAATGTTCTGTAGGCTGTAGTGGGGTAGCCTATATGGGGTACACATTTCTAGGGTTGCATATTTGTACCACATTCCATTCCTTAGTGCACATCATTTTCTCGTTTCAGTTTTTTCACTAGTACTGTGATCTATATATACCTGCGCGTGCCTTTGTTAGGCTGCGATCACTGTCTTGCTTGTTCACTTTGATTTATAATCCTGCATGTAAACTGGCCTTGTTGCCTTGAACTTGTGCTCAGAATGTGTGGTGACGTTGTGATCCACCCTGAGCTTGACCTTGTCTTGTTCTCTTGCTTGTCCCCCACTTTAACTATGGGGGTGTGTCAGAACTATACTGTAGGCTGTAGTGGGGCACTCCTTATGGGGTACAGTAGTGTTAGGGTTTCCTACTTGTACTCCTCATGCTGCTGAATGAACTGATTTTCCTTGTTCTTATTCTCACAGTTGAGGAGTATCATATTTGTAGAGCTTATCCTTCTGAAGTAAGTATGTCAGTGGCACTGCTATCTTAGCGTACGGTGGCACGAACCTGTTGTAGTAGTTGGCGAAGCCTAGGAACTGCTGCAACTCCACGTTCTCATGAACATTCCATTTCTTGGCGGCTTCGATCTTCCGTGGGTCTTTATGTATGCCCTCCGCACTCACCATGTGCCCGAGAAACCGCAACTTCTTTAGGGTGAAGTTGCTCTTTAACAGCTTCATGTAGAATTTGTTCTTGCGCAAGATCTCCAAGCCTTTCTGCAGATGCTCTACGTGCTCCGTCATGCTCTTGGAGTAGATGAGAATGTCGTCCAGTTACACTTCCATGCATTCGTCAAGCAAGGGCCATAGGATGTGATTTATTTCCATCTGGAATGTTGCCGGTGCGTTGCAGAGACCGAACGGCATCACCAAGTTTTTGTTGGATTCGTATCTCGTGCGAAACGCCATTTTGTGAATCCAATTGTCTGCCATCTTGATCTGCCAGTAACCCGACCGCAGGTCCAGCTTCGAAAGCACCGTTGCACTACGCTGTTGGTCTAGAAGATCGTCTATGTGCGGCATGGGGTATTTGTTCTTGACTGTCTATTTGTTCAGAGCGCGGTAGGCGATACACATCCGTAAACCACCGTTTGGCTTTGGGGTGAAGAGAACCGGTGCGCCGTAGGGGGAGGTGGATGGGCGGATCAGTTTTCTATCCAGTAGGTATTCTATCTGCTTCTTCATATCATTTAGTTTGGTCGGACTAAGGTGGTATGGTGCACGAGAGACGGGTTTCGCACCTGGTTCCTCCACGATCTGGTGCTCGTCAGTTCGCGTTGGAGGCACTCCTGCAGGTAGGTCATCCAGCATGATGTCCTTGTATTCGATTCATACCACCTGTACACCTGCACGTAGCTCCGAGTTCGGCTTCTCCTCTACTACTTCCATCACCTGTGCTAAGTAACTTGTGTTACTCTTGTTCACTGTCCGTTCGATCCGTGCAAGTGTCGTTTGAGGAACACCCCCTGTATCCCTCCAGCTTCGCAGCTCCACACGTTTCCCATTGTTGTAGATGCACGCCTTCTTGTTGACCCAGTCTATCCCGGGGTTGAAACCGCTTTAAAAAATCATGCCCCAACATTAAATCTAATCCCTTGATGTTCGTGATCAGCAATGTCGGCTTCCATTTCAACGTCCCTATTTGCAGTTGCAGTATTGACTCGCCATGGATGGGAAGCTTTGTACCGTCCACCATTGTTGCTGTAAACTGGGTCTCCTCCGAGGACTCTCCGATTTTCTCCAGCGTCCCGCTGTCGCACACCGAGTGGGATAGACTAGTGTCCACCAATGACTTGAGGCGTCGCCCTTAGTAGAGCACCTCGAGTAGTAGTGGATGTTGCTGCTCCGAATAGCCATAGATGGCCTCGCTTATAGGATCATAGGGCACATTAAATGTATCATCCTTAGGTCCTGTGCTCGAAGCTGCCGACTAAAGATCAGTTTTCAATTGAGTAGGGTTAGAAGGATTTATCCAAGGCTGGTACAGCGTCTCCTTAGCCTGGAACCTTCCCCTAAGCCTTTGCATTTGTGTAGGCTTCACATGTGGGGAACGGTGGGGAGCCTTAACACCGTGCTGATGGGAGAGAATATCAACTCCTCGAAACGCTCGACCCTTATCAACGCTCCTGAGTGAGGTCCCCTTTCTACCCGGCACCGGTATAATTTCTTACTCTCCCTTAGTAAAGGCTTGAAAACTACGAGAAGTAATATTCATAGTTTAAGTAACTTAATAGGATAACTCTAACGAATTCTTACTTATCAGGGTGTAAGGCTGGAGCTTCCCGATCGATGCAGGGTCTTGTTTCGCGGAGTCTCCTTTTGTCTCGGCGATTTCCCCTGGTCCGTTTTCTGCTTTGGAGGTGCCGCACTATTCTTGCCCTTCAGCTCCGCATGTGCTTTCTCCGTTTTCCAACACGCCAAGATATGATGTCCTGTAGTGCCACAAAATTCACACGTCTCATATTTTGATAGCCGCTACTTCGCATCGCCCTTGTCGTTCTCCATCGGTTCGTTATTCGTTGGTGGTGCCGATCACCCCATGCCACTATTTGGCTGGCTGAGTCGTGTTCCGTAGTAGCTACTGTTCAACACGTCGAACTGTTCGATCAGTGCTGCCTGAAATTGCGCTCACGCCCCTTCGCCTTAGATGTGTTGTTGATGTGAAAGAATGAGGAATGAATGAACTAGCACAAGGTTGGGTACAAGTAGGAAACCCTAGGAAACTGTACCCCATAGTGTCTACCCCACTTTAGCCTAGACAAGCAATATAATATGAGTTTGACACACCCCCATAGGCAAATTGGGGGAGAACAAGAGGTCACAAGACCAGTCAAGCAAAGCAAAGCAAGCTCAGGGTGGATCACAACGTCACCACACAATCCGAGCACAAGAGCAAGGCCAAAAGGCCAGTTCACATGCAAGATCATATATAAAGGTAAACAAGCAAGTGCAGGTATAGAAAGATCACAGTACAAGCAAGGTCAAGAAGTGAGCAAGTGAGGCCAAGTAGGCACAAGACCTAGCATCGTACAGAAGCGCTGATGATCACCAGGCGGAAGTGCCTTGGTAAAGATATCAGCAGTGTTGGCCTCAGAGGCCACGTAAGCAAGATGCAGCTGACCACGCTGCTGCAGCTCACGAGCAAGGAAGTAGCGGAGAGCAATGTGATTCGTTCTGTGCTCGAGAGGGGTCCGCAAGGGAGACTGCAACCGGCCGACTAAGTGGCGTAAGCGTGGAGCGGTCTCGAAAGAAGGAGCGGGAAACATTCGAGTCAAGGGTGAAGGTGTGTAAGGCCTGAGCCGACGTAGTACCTGAGAGAGCAGACTCACCAGCACCTGGGGCAGCAGACGCACTAGCACCTGGAGCAGCAGCCTTACCAGCACCTAGAGCAGCAGCCTCAATTTCCGGGTCAGGCGGAACACACAGGTCACAGTCACCCTCCTCACTAGTAGATACAGCATACATGGCAGCAAGAATAGCATCATAGTCAAGATCAAAGATGGCAACCCCCGCCCTAGACAGATCTCCCCAGCGAGGTATCTCCGAGGCCTCAGGGAACTGGTGACGCCACGCGTCCGTCAGGCGGCCGAAGCAGCGCTGAGTGGAGTGCGGGCCCCCGCACTGCCCACCAGCGCGGTCGCCGGTACGGAGGACGTAAATGCAGGGACCAGTACCCCCACCGCGCTGACGCGCAGCATACCACTCACGAAGCTGCTGAGGGGACAGGGTCTCACGACTGCGCTGCTGCTGCTGGCGCGGACCACCACCGGACGCACTCCTCTGCGCATAGTCTCGACCAGCTCCGCCGCCGCCGCCGCCTCCACCGCCTCCGCCACCTCCGCCACCTCCGCCGCCTCCGCTCCCTCCGCCACCACCGCCGCCTCCTCCGCCTCCACTGCTGTCACCGCCGCCTCCACCCCCGCCACCACTCCCACCACCACCCCCACCCCCTCCACTGCCACCGCCACCTCCACCACCACCACCACCCCCACCCCCTCCTACAGCGACTATGCTCTTCTCTACTGCTAGGAGGCGCTCCTCGATGAGGTCAACAGTGAGTTTGGTGGGTCAAACTGAGAGGAAGTGGTCCCTGACTAAGCGAAGGGAGTCAAGGAGCCGGGTGACTATGTAGTAGAGGGTGATGCACATGGGGGGGGGGGGGGGGGGGTTCTTGGTGCAGAACTCAGCAGGAAGCGCAGCGCGGTAGCGAGTGTCACTAGTGCGAAGGTGCGTAATGAGGTCAGCGACTTTGGGAAAGGCAGCAAGGTCAGGGAACAGGTACGGCAGCATGAGGCGGCTAAGCGCAGCAGTGGCAGGGGAGGAGTAGCGTGCAACTACAGTGTCGTACAAGGTCTGAGCACTCTTGTACTGGCTAAAGTGCGCACGCTCAGTTGTCGGTAAGTGGCGACGCACAGCAAGACGGGCAGCAGCATCGTGTGTGGCCCACTGAGAGCGAACAGTGCTGTCAGCAGTAGCAGGCGGGGCAGGGGAGGCACCAGAGGTGAAATCAAACAGGGAGAGTCCGTCTGCCCTATCGCACTGTAGGAACAGCTGGAGGTCATCGACCCAGACATCAAAGTCAACAGCACAACCCTCAGTATCAAAGGTAAGAACCCTGGGGGTAGCCATCAGTGCAGTGGCCTAACAGGGAGTGATCTCACCAGTCCGAGTAAGTAGGGCCGGGGCGCGCCGATAGGAACAGTAGTGGCTCGACGGCAGGGCGGCTCGGCGGCTCGGCTGCTGGGCGGCTCGGCGGCTCGGCTGCTGTGCGGCTCGGCTGTCAGGCGGCTCGGCTGTCGGGCGGCTCGGTGGCTCGGCTGCTGGGCGGCTCGGCGGCTCGGCTGCTGGGCGGCTCGGCGGGCCGGTTGCTGGGCGGCTCGACTACTCGGCGGCTCGGCTGCTAGGCGGCTCGGCTGTTGGGCGGCTTGGCGGCTCGGTTGCTCGGCGGCTCGGCTGCTGGGCGGCTCGGCGGCTGAAGGGGCCGCTAGGGGCGGCGACGAGGCCGCGTAGGGAGGGGAGCGGCGACGGGGCCGCTAGGGGCGGCGAGGGGGCCGCGTAGGTAGGGAGGCGGCAACGAGGCCGCTGAGGGCGGCGATGGGGCCGCTAGGGGCGGTGACGGGGCCGTGTAGGGGCGGCGACAGGGCCGCGTAGGTAGGGAGGCGGCGATGGGGCCGCTAGGGGCGGCAACGGGGCTGCTTAGGGGCGGCGACGGGGCCGCTAGGGGCGGCGACGGGGCCGCGTAGGTAGGGAGGCAGCGACAGGGCCGCTAGGGGCGGCGACGGGGCCGCTAGAGGCGGCGACGGGGCCGCGAAGGGGCGGCGACGGGGCCGCGTAGGGGCGGCGACGGGGCCGCGTAGGTAGGGAGGCGGCGGCGGGGCCGCTAGGGGCGGCGACAGGGCCGCGTAGGGGCGCCGACGGGGCCGCTTAGGGGCGGCGACGGGGCCGCGTAGGTGGAGAGACGGCGACGGGGCCGCGTAGGGGCGGCGACGGGGCCGCTAGGGGTGGCGACGGGGCCGCGTAGGGGGCGGCGACGGGGCCGCTAGGGGTGGCTACGGGGCCGCGTAGGGGCGGCGACGAGGCCGCTAGGGGCCACGAGGGGCGGCACGGGGGGCCGTGGGAGGGGCCTCTAAGGGACCTCGACGGAAGGGCGGCCCACAGGGCGCGCCTCGGGCAGCAGCGACTGGCGCTCCGGTCAAAAAAAAAAAAAATCAGTGGTGGGCCCAAGGAAGCGTTCCCACTAGGGAACCTGCTCTATACCATGTGAAAGAATGAGGAATGAATGAACTAGCACAAGGTTGGGTACAAGTAGGAAACCCTAGGAAACTGTACCCCATAGTGTCTACCCCACTATAGCCTAGACAAGCTATGTATTATGAGTTTGACAGTTGATCCACTCTAAAGCCGGGCCTCGTAACAATGTTGCTGCGAGCCGTATGCGCATTGCGTCTTGGGTGGGGGTCGTGCATGCAATGGCTTCGAAGTAGATTTCGAGTCTAGCTACGAGTCGACGAACATTGCTTCCTTGAACTATAGGATCGAACGCCTCTGGTTGCCTTGGCATTGCTGCTTCAATGTTAACATTACCTGCTGCCGTTGTCGTATGTACAATTGTCGGTGCCGCCGCCGCTGCTGCTCTGGTGGCTGCCGATTGGTTCGAAATGAGTTTTTCGAGTTGTAGGAGCGCCGCACGTATCTGCTCCTTCTCGGCGCATAAATCCGCAATTTTCAGTACAAAAATATCTTTGTTTCCCTTCATTTGGAGATTCAAATGAAGTTTTGCAACGAAATAAATTCTAGGCGCTAGTCGACTTACTGCAAATCGAATCGAGTGTAGAAATTATGAGCGCTGATTCTGTACGTCGCGTGATTCTCCCTTAGTCAAAATCCGCGTCCAATCTTGCTCCAAATTCCAACCTTTTTTTGTGAAATTCTCTGGGCGGTTGAGATTTGAATCGATTTAACGGTCGAAATTCCAACTTTTTTGCCAATAATCCTAAGGGGTGTTCAAAAACCGGTTCGAGGGGGACTTCAAAAAATTGCGTGGAACTGGTTTGCATACCCGTATCGGTGCTTCGTCGTCGCCCTCGTGGTTTTTAGCGGCTGAAGACTTCGCGTGTAAACGAGCTTTGAGTACCAAGTGTGAGGATCGAAGGAATTGGTTAAGAGATTATAATATGATCTCCTGGGTACAACGTCGTGCTATATATATGCATGACACAAGACTAGTAACCCCTGTATTGTCAAACTCATATGCTATAGTCTGTGTAGGCTGTCGTGGGGTAGACAATATTGGGTACAACACTTTTAGGTTTTCCTATTTGTACCCACCTGCTTGCTAGTTCATTCATTCCTTGTTCTTTCACATGGTATAGAGCAGGTTCCCTAGTGGGAACGTTTCCTAGGGCCCACCGAATATCGATTTTTTTTTTTCCTGCCCGGAGCGCGCTTCGCCCCTGCCCGAGTCGTGCCCCGTGTGCCTACTCTCCCGTCGCGTCCCCTGCCCTTAGTGGCTCATCGCGCTCCCCTACGGCCCCGTAGCGGCCCCTCTCACAGCCTCTTACGGCCCCTCTCACGGCCCTTCGTGGCCCCTTCAGGCCCCTCGTGGCCCCTTTGCGGCCTCCCTTCGCGGCCCCTTCACGGCCCCTTCACGGCCCCTTCGCGGCACCTTCGTGGCCCCTTCACGGCCCCTTCACGCCCCCTTCGCGGACCCTTCACGGCCCCTTCGCGACCCCTTCGCGGCCCCTTCACGGCCCCTTCGCGGCCCCTTCACGGCCCCTTCGCGGCCCCTTCGCGGCCCCTTCACGGCCTCCTTGCGGCCCCCTCGCGGCTCCCTTCACCGCCCCTTTAGGGCCCCGCCCCGCTGCCCGTAGCGACCCCGCCCTGTCGCCAGTCGCGGCCCCGCCCCGTCGCCAGTCGTGGCCTCACCCCATCGCCAGTCGCGGCCCCGCCCCGTCGCCAGTCGCAGCCCCGCCGCGTCGCCCCCGCCTCGTCGCGTCGCCCTTGCTGGACCCGCGAGGCGCGGCTCCTATGCGTCGCGACGCCCCTGCGGGACCCGCGTGGCGTCACCGCTGCCCGCCGCAGCGCCCTGCCCTAACACGCGCCCTGGAGCAGCCGCCACTACAGCAGCCGCCCCTGGAGCAGCCGCCACTGCAGCAGCCACCCCTGGAGCAGCCTCCCTTGCAGCAGCCGCCCCTGGAGCAGCTGCCCCTGAAGCAGCCGCCCCTGGAGCAGCCGCCCCTGAAGCAGCCGCCCCTGGAGCAGCTGCCACTGCAGCAGCCGCCCCTGGAGCAGCCACACCTGCAGCAGCCGCCCCTGGAGCAGCCGCCCCTGCAGCAGCCGCCCCTGGAGCAGCCGCCACTGCAGCAGCCGCCCCTAGAGCAGGCGCCACTGCAGCAGCCGCCCCTGGAGCAGCCGCCCCTGCAGCAGCCGCCCCTTGAGCAGCCGCCACTGCAGCAGCCGCCCCTGGAGCAACCTCCCCTGCAGTAGCCGCCCCTGGAGCAGCCGCCCTTCAAGCAGCCGCCCCAGGAGCAGCCGCCACTGCAGCAGCCGCCCTTGGAGCAGCAACCCCTGCAGTAGCCGCCCCTGGAGCAGCCGCCCCTGCAGCAGCCGCCCCTGGAGTAGCCGCCCCTGCAGCAGCCGCCCCTGGAGCAGCCACCCTTGCAGCAGCCGCCCCTGGAGCAGCCACCCCTGCAGCACCCGCCCCTGGAGCAGCCGCCCCAGGAGCAGCCGCCACTACAGCAGCCGCCCCTGGAGCAGCCACCCTTGCAGCAGCCGCCCCTGCAGCAGCCACCCCTGCAGCAGCTGCCCCTGGAGCAGCCGCCCCTACAGCAGCCGCCCCTACAACTGCCGCCCCTGGAGCACCCACCCATGCAGCTGCCGCGGAGCCCTCGCCCTACAATGGTAGCGGCCTCGCCGTTGCCGCTGTCGTACGACTGCCCTTCTCGCCAGTGGTGAGCACTGCCCTGCCTGTACTGCTGTTACTGTTGCTCTTGCTGCTAGTGCTCTTTCTACTGCTACTGTTGCTCCCGGCGTGTCCATATGCAGCTCCAGCGCCGTCCGCGTGAGTCCCTCACCCCCCAACAGCTTCGTGAGTGGTACGCTAGTTGGGGTTATAAGGGTGGCCGCGCTGCGACTACTGCTATTGCTATTGCGGCTACCACTACTCCTGCTGCTCCTGGCGGTGGCCAGATGCAGCTCCAGCGACGTCCGCGAGAGTCCCTCACGCCCCAGCAGCTTCGTGAGTGGTACGCTACTTGGGGTTGTCGGGGTGGCCGTAGTGGGAGTCGTCCAGGAGTGAGTAGTTCGGCAGCTGCTTGTAGTGGCCAGGTGCAGCTGCAGCGTCGTCCGTACGCGGTCCTTTCGCCCCAGCAGCTTCGTGAGTGGTACGCTCAGTGTGGCGGGTCACGGGGTACTGCTCGCTGTCCGTACATCATTCGTACTGGTGCTCGGACTGGTCAGCCTTGCGGGACATTTTGTCACGCAGAGTCCCGCTACTTCGCCCGTCTGAGCGACGCCTGGCGTACGGAGTTTGGCGACGCGGCTGAGCTCCCCGACCGGGTGGAGTTGCTTAGGCTGCGGGTAGATATCTATACTCTTGACTATGATGCTATCCTCACTGCCATGTATGCATTGCCTACTAGTGATGAGGGTGACTGTTACCTGTGGGTTCCGCCTGACCCGGGCATTGAGGCTGCTGCTCTAGGTGCTGGTGAGGCTGCTGCTCTAGGTGCTAGTGCGTCTACTGCCCCAGGTGCTGGTGAGTCTGCTCTCTCAGGTACCACGTCGGCTCAGGCCTTACACACCTTCACCCTTGACTCGGGTGCTTCCCGCTCCTTCTTTCGAGACCGCACCACGCTTACGCCGCTTAATCGGCCAGTTGCGGTCTCCCTGGCGGACACCTGTGGGGGTCCTGTCCTAGCCCACTTCTCCACTGTCTTGCCGTGTCCGATAGCCCCCTCTAGCACCCTGTCAGGTCTCTACCTCCCCTCGTTCTCTACGAACTTGGTGAGTGGTGCTGATTTACAGGATGGGGGGGTTGACCAGTTCACTCCTGCGAGTCAGCGGGTGACCCACTGTTCGTGTGCTCGGACGGGCCGACACTTGGCCACGTTTACCCTTCAGCTGGGGTC